ACCACCACTAATTCCAGTATCCCTCCCACCCCCATCCCCCCAACCCACTCTGCCTCTGTGGCAGAGCATTCCCTTTTATACTCTCTCTCCTTTTGGGTGCTGTGGTTTGCAAAAGAGGAATTCAGTGGCAATCAGGTTCGGTCTATAGTCTACTTTCAGCATGCATCTCCCATCCTGGGAGGATCTTCCCAACACCCTTTATTTGGTGCTCACTTCTCTATCTGAGCTGCCTTTACCCCTAGAGTGTGTGGCTGACGTCCAAGCCATGGAGTAAACCTCCTGGTATTTATCTCAGCTATTCTTGGGTGTTAATCTCCTATTTTGTTACTTTATGTTCCCCAGATGAATGCAATCTATGTCTGTCCCTCTCTTTCTGACTCATTTGGCTTAGCATGGTACTTTCCATGTAGTACCACTTCAACATTCTCAAGGTGGTATACTCAAGGAACTTCAGTTAGAATATTATACTTCTTAAAATCAAACAAAAGGCAAATATTAGTTGTAAAGAATGACATGATAAACATCATGTCTCTCTGTGTGTCCTTGGGTATATGCGATATTGTCCATTAGTCTTACATGTGTTTATTTAGTGTCAACTATTAATACATTAAAAGAGAAAGTGGTTAAATGACAAAATTTCTTTCCCTTGCCCAGAGAATCATGTTCTACCACTCCTTGGCCTCCTGCCCTAGACTGAGTCTGAGTAAATTGGTGGTAGAATGTCACCATGTAAATGAGCAGGGGTTTTATGTGGGCTATGTAATGACCACTGGCTAGTGTGTCATTTCTTTGAAAAAACCACTTCTGAGTTCCTAATAACACATTTGTTTATGCATGAAAAACAGAGGGTTGTACACTGTTAAAATTTTGGGAAGTATGTGACATCTTCCTTTATGTAGAAAGAGATAAATGACAGAGAAAGCAGTTAATGGGACTGAATCAGGCAAGCGGAATCCAGGACTGTCAAGAGATTATGGCCTTTCAACCTCATGATGTTTTGAGTTACTGGAGGCACTGAGGGTTTCTGAATCATCAAGATAAGAGATCACTCAGTGTTGTTTTGTTGCAACTATTATCATTACCTGAGAATTGAAATAGAGTTAGGTTAAACTGGATCTTTTCTTTTTCTTTTTTTCTGTTTTATTTTCTCTGGGGGAAGGGAGCTCCCAAGTATTTAGTGCTCATAAATTAGGGGCCTAGAAGTAGGTACTTAGCTTACCTGGCCAGTGTTTCTGTGATAGGACCAAGGATGATCTGGTGCTTAAGGTCATAATTCTTAGTTCTGGGACCACCAGAGCTATCATAATAGTTATATCAGCAATGCTTGAAGGGCTTACAGGATATATATGTTGTGAATGTGTATATATATGTACACACATATATGTACTCCATATACCATAAATGGAGTATGTATTACATATGCATAAAGGTAAAGGTAAAGGCCCTCCCGTTGATCGTTGATTTGCTCGAGCGGGCCCAGTAACGTCTCCATTGGAGACTTTGTTGTTACTGTGTCTGGCATATCCAATACTCTCGGTAGCTTGCCGGGCTCTCCGAGAGGGGCGGAGGAATCGAACTCGGGTCGGCCTTGTTGGCTGCGTGCAAGGCAGACGCCTTACCCGCTGTGCATGTATATATAAATGTGTTTGTGTATATATCATATATATGCCTGTGTGTGTATATATATACATATTCAGAGAGTATCCCACCTGCATACAAAGCCTGGCAAGCTACCCGTGATGTATTCAATATGCCAAAAACAGTAACAACAAGTCTCACAATGGAGATGTTACTGGTGCCCACTCGAGCAAATCAATGAACAACTGGAGGATAGTGCTACAGTGCTTCACATATATATATATATATATGGCTGGGTATCACAACTGGAAGGATAGTGCTACAGTGCTTCATATATATATGTATATATATATACATATATATATGGGGCTGGGTATCACACCAAGTTAAGTACATGCTAGACATATTCCCTAAAGGCTGTGCTGTTTCTCAGTCTAGGATAATTTCTTAACTTGCATTTAGTTAACTCTCCATTTGTTCTGACTGTTGCTAACCAGAATGCTACTGAACCCCACCTCTCAAAAACACTGAATTTGAATTATGGTTTCTGCTGTTCATCAGAAGTAGAATTTTCCACGTACAACTCAGGACACTTAATATTTTCCCTCTTGACACATGTAATTCAGCCTCAGTGTTGGCAATTTGGGAGTAAGTGTCCTTATTGCAATTAGAAATGGTTCTGTGACAGCATAAAGCTTGAAATGACTTTCTTTGAAATGAAAGAATTTTGTTTGCAGATTAACTCAATTCCCATTGCCATAACTGGCAGCAAAATTGCTAGGACAGTTTGGTGACTGGATTGAACCTTTCTTACAGGAAGCATATAGCTGTACAGCTGTGGAAACACAAATTCAGTCTCCATTGTTGGTTTCCTGACAGCTTTTTCCATAGAGCAGTTTGGAGAGTGGAGAGCCCTGGTTCTGAGACAGAAGTGTTTTCACACCTGAAGTGTAATTTCACACCTTGTGTTTCTCAGCAGATAAGTGCATAAAATAACACATCAAACCGGAATAGAAAAAGATCAACATAGAAAGAAAACTGCAGGTTGTAATTTGTTTCCTATCTTACAATACTCTTGTATGGAACAGTAAATTGCAGCGATCTGGATTTACACTTTTAAAAGTTTTACTGGTTGTTAGGTGGGAAAATGAAAAGTAAACATTAATCAGCTTTCAGGCTGTCGTGAACAGGATGTACAGAATGAGGGAATTTAGGAAATACCATAACTTTTTTTCAAAGAATAGAATATATATAACTTAGTGGTAAAAGTTAAAGTCAACCTTCAAGAAATTAAACCATGATTTCATTCTTTTCATTTTTATTAAGACACTGTGATTTACAATACTGTCGATGATAGTTTCATACATACAGGATTTCAATACTACACCTTCCCCAGAATGTCTCTTCCTTTCCCTCCTTCCTGAGGTCTAGTGTCTCAAGGATCTCTTCCCATCCCCTACTCTGTCCACTCCAGGTAAGCACTAAATTATGTAGGCTACTTGAAGTTCTGTTAAGTAATGATTTTAATACAAATGCAATTATTTTAGAAGTTTTTTTTACATAAAAAGCAATTGTAACAAAGTAGTAAACCATGTGGTAAAATTTATTTTCTTTCTTTTCTGTAAATGAATTAAACATATGATATGAACCATCATTTAATAGCATTGTATTAAAAGGGTTATAAAACACCAGATATAATGTTATTTACAAAGTTTGAAATGCAAAATCTAAGGAATAAACAAAGTTGAATCTCTTAGCCAGTCATGAAAAATATTTAATGTTTAGTAAATATCTACCCTATGTTATATATTTGTCCAGGTATCAGAGGCATAATGAAAAATAGGACCAGTTGCTCCTTCTACCATTGGGGGACACATAGTCTTGGAGACTAGTAAATAGGCACCGATAATTTTGGTTTAAAAAGATGAAACAGGTTAAAACTAGGTTTTAGTGATACATGAATTTGGAGGGAGATGATAAGAAAAGATTCCTGGATATAGTGATGTCCAAATCAAAATGATGAATAAAACTCATGTGAATATAGGTTTCATTTGGACAGTTATAGCTAATGTAGAAATGAAAGATAAAAAGAACAAGAATGTGTTAGAAGGAAGGAAGTTCCATGTGGTGGGAAGGCTATGTCCAACACACAGATGTGTACAGGAGACTGGGAGACATGGTGCCAGAGCACATTGTCTATAGTGAGAAATACAGTTTGGAAACTAGTGGGAAGTCTTCAAAGTTTATTTTTTAATAGTAATACTTTTTTTAATTGAACCACTGTGAGATATGGTTACAAAGCTGTTCACAGTTGGGTTTTAGTCATACAATGTTCCAACACCTTCCCTTCACCATTGTACATTTACCACTACCAATGTCTGTTTCTCTCCTGCCAATGCCCACCCCCACAGCCTGCCTCTGCCTATTTTCCTCTCTCTCTCTCTCTCTCTCTCTCTCTCTCTCTCTCTCTCTCTCTCTTTCTCCCTCTCCCTCTCCCTCTCCCTCTCCCTCCTCTCTCTATCCTCTTCTGGGCATTATGGTTTGCAATACAGATACTGAAATATTATCATGAATATTCCTTTACCTAGTTTCAGAATGATATGACAAGGTTTGTATTGCAGAAATGTAAAAATGAGACTATGGGAACTGGAAAGTATAGTGACTGAAATTTAATGAGGGAAAGTGCAATAATTCAGATTGTTGTGTTACTCCTTGAGAGTTTTTGTGGCATTGGGGATGGAAAAAAATGGGTGAATCTGGAATCTTAGAAGGTAAAATCAGTCAAACGTACTGATGATTATCTAATCATTGATTGGCTTAGAAGCCAGTTTTGACATGTGGTCCTGATTTCTGATTTGGCTTATTGAGTAGGTGATCCTGTAATTTTAGGGGTGGAAAGCCCTGGAGCAGCAAGTTCTTAACTGCTGGGTACATTTGAATACTAGTTATGTTTTGGGATGTCTTCAAGAAAACTTGTATTTGATTAGATCTGGTTTGGTAGTAGTTATTGAGTAGATTAAATGGTGCAAATAACACACAGAGTGAGTGAGAAGAAAATAGATTTTTTAATCCAGGCATGTAGTATATTGAGAATAAAATGAAAGCACAGAACAGTGCATAAGGCTAAGAAACTGTGCATATCCACCAATACCATTTCATATATACTTTTGCCTCTATCTGCCTCTGACCATGTAGAGATTCCAATGAACAAAGTGTCTGATAGTAAGAGGCATGAAACATCAAGCATCAAAGTAAAAGTTCTTTCACTTAATAATTCATGTAAGATGTTAGTCCTATAGAGAGTGCCAGATCTAGGGATACTGAAGAGTATGTTAAGAAGGATAAAAAGTTGTTCATATAACAACTAAACCAGCAAAACAGAAAGAACTGATGTTTTCTCATTTCCATTGTCTTTTTCTTAGATACCTACGGAAAACTATTTCTTCTCAATTCTGTGGGTCAAGAAATGTCCCGATGCAAGACATCTATTCGGCGTGGTCAGCCCAATCCTGTATATAAGGAGACCTTTGTTTTCCAGGTGGCCCTCTTTCAGCTCTCTGATGTCACTTTGATGATTTCCATTTATAACAGGCGTACAATGAAGCGTAAAGAGATGATTGGTTGGATTGCTCTTGGTCAGAATAGTAGTGGAGAAGAGGAACAAGATCACTGGGAGGAAATGAAGGAGACCAAAGGTCAGCAGATCTGCAGATGGCATACCTTGCTTGAATCTTAGATTTGCTGGCAGCTGTTTGACTTTTCCTCTGCTGCTCACTGCTGCATTTTACTCGACACAAGACAGGGTTGCAAACAGGGATTGGATTATACTAATCCCTAGGACATTCTTGGGATCTTCTGTTTCTTAAAGGTTTGATTTGGATTTGAGAATCACTGCTTTAAAAACCGTACTTTTTCATTCAAGTATAATGTATAGAAAATGTTATCATAGCTGTGAGCAGTGATAATTAGTTAATTTATGTTAATGAGTTGTTGAGTTTTGGTTCAGAATGGAATGAAGTGTCTCCTGCAGTCACAGTTAACTTGAAGAGTAACATGAAATTGCTAAGGAGCTGTTGAATGTTACTATTTGTAACCATTTAGACATATGACTCAGTTTTCTTAATATGGTGCAAAAACTCAAAATCCAAAATGAATCAAATGTTGATGCTCATAGAAGAATGTAACTATCATCAATAATTCCTAATCCATATTTTTCTTTATCAGAAACCTTCATTTATTTATCTAATAAACATTATAAGCTTGTACTTATAAAACAAATTTGTATTAACTAAATACCTCCTTTAATTAACATGTTTTCCTATGAGGTTTGGTTAAATGAATTGCATTCATCTAGCCAAACTCAATAAAGTTTGAAAGTTGTTGAAAGGAACCATTTCCTTTTAAATATGTAAATCTATGAACTTGTAACTTTCAAGATTTTTATGCTGTTTTTCTCACCTAATAAATTCTTACAGAATGAGAAAAAAAACAAAAAATCTATTTCAGTCATGAATTTTTATTTTTTAAAATTAGTTTTCTTTAAGATTATCCTTTTGAAAAGGAATATCATTCTACATGGAATGATATCCACTTGTGTATTTTGAATGTTCCTGCATGTGAACCATACTCTTTTCATACAGTATTTTCTTTAGTAAACTGTACATATTGACTCTTTAATAAATACTGATTTGTTTGAATCTTAAAAATGACATTGACGTTCTAACACCTGTTTCTGAAGAGTATTTTCTGCTTGTATGGAATGACACTGGTTTTCTTTGAGCATTTGAAGTGCCTATAATTGTCATTTTTCATAGCATCTGCAGCAACACAAATTAGTCACTACCTGCATACTGGGCACATGCCATTCAGAATACCAAGCCTATATATTTATGAGCATGGACACTCAGTTGCTTTTTACATATTTGAGCAGTGCATGTTCCTTTTTCTTTTTCTAAGATCCGAGCTCATTTTCGTTGCTTTGAATGGACAGTAATAAAAACAGGAAAGGGATGTGTACAAATGTAACATTGTGCCCAATGTACAATTCTGAGCAATTGCTCAGTCTAGTATTTTTAACTTTTATGTTTTATTGTTGACTTTTTGCTGTCTGGGGGAAGAGCGGTAGCTAATGATGGATGTGCACAGTTAAAAACACATTACTCCTCATCTCTTCATTTTGACAGATTGTAAACATAGGCTGTAACACTTGAAGAATATAGTTATTCCTTGTAGTGTGTAATGGTTATCCTGACAAGATCAGCCTAGAGCATAGGATAACTCTACTAAGATCTCTAGTTTCAAGTTTTGAAAAATAGTAATTTCATATGGCTAAAATAGCACTAGAAAAATAATTAATATCTTAATATCTTTTCAGATTATGGGAGTTTCATAGCTAATATGTCCATTATTGAAAATCAGTAATAAAACCATACTCCTTTGGGTTTTTAGTCTACCATTTGGAAGACCTCTAAGTGCTTTTCCAACATTATATCCATTAGCTGCTGAGTGGTCTTTGCAGTGTGGCTGTGTCATCAAGTAGAACTGAGTGCGATTGATTAAGTAGCAGCACAAAGAATTGGCTTTTCACATCCCTTACTCTCTTTATGCGCCTGTGTTTAAAGGGAAGTAGAGCAGCCTTGTTACGCTTTCCTTTATGCAGTAACATAAAAGCAGCATTCACTTTAAAATTTACATTTGAAAAAATCTGCATATATTGTACAGACAGTCCTGAATTTTTTCTTCATGTATTTTTGTATTCTGCTTTTCTGTATCCCCTGTTTGAAGGTGCCCAGTAATCACCTAGCCTTCATTTTCTTTTAGTTGATCTGTTCATTTTAAAACTTTCAGTTGATATGGTGAAAAGATCCTTGTGTGCCTGTCCTGCTTTCCAGTAGTATGATACGGTTTAGAGGAATGTCTAAGGGCATTTAATGGAAGGAATACTTTAAAAGCATTTTAAATTTTTATAATTTGATAATTTGATAACTCAATGTACAGTAATATTTACCTTATATAGTGATTGTATAATTAGAAAATGATAATAATACAACACTAAATTAGAAAATGATAATCATATGACATTAAAATTAGACTTTTTTTTTACATTTCAAATTTTGTTTCATTACGATATTTCAATTTTGTACACTTAAACTTCCTTTTTTTTCTTGGCAAAGTCTAGACACAGTGCATTTAAAATGTTTTTCACTTGAGGTTTTACATCTACATTTGCTTTCAAAGGAGATATAAAAGATAATTAGTTGGTTATTCAGCGATAGAGCTACTTTTGCCTATTTTATCTAGCTAATAAATTAATATCTCATAGAAACATTTGGAATTGAAAAAAGCACCCGTATTTGTTACATGAATTCTTCTCTCCATGATTTCTCCCAAAGTGAATGCTTTTTAAATAATATTGTTAAGGGTAAATGATGCATTAGGTTTTTAGAAATCTGCCTTATCATGTGCCTTTTTTCAACCCCCAAGTCTATATTGAATTGAGAAGTGCTGGTTTCACCATTCACTTGGGGTGGCTCTTGTGCTCTCCACTCCCCTCTAACTATTGTTGAATTTTTAAATGGCCTATTCACCAGGCATCCAACACCTGCTCTCTCGCTCCCAATTCTATGCACAGTTAGAACCTTTTTTAGGACCCTGTTTTTGCTGTGAGATATAGCTGTGGGTGGAGTCTTCCCTTTATTATAAGAATTCATAATTCATAATTCTTATAAGAATTCATAATTCTTTGCATCTATTATACACTTGGGCTATACTTATCCCCCTGCATAGCCCAAGAAAGAATTCTCACCATAATTGCAAGAGGAAAGCAGAGTATATCTCTAAATTGTTCTTCCCTTTAGATAATAATCATTCTGTTACTCCTTCAAAGAGAGTAATTGATGGATTTTGAATGTCAATTTTCTCCATAATTCTAGGTGTCATATAGTGAGTCTGAAACACAGCCTCTACCTTTGCAATATGTAATTCTTACAATATTTTACAAATTATTATCAATCAATTACTATGCTTCATATCCTAATTATACGGATGATCTGATCTAAGAATCAAAACTCTTTTGTCTTCAAGTGAAGCTTTATTTAAGTTAGACTATCATCAGAGTAATTAACAGTGCTTTACAGAGCCCTGAATTAATTAAATTGGTGGTTCAGAGTGGACATAGTATTGTGCTTTCCCCAATGCCTTTGTGTCCATTTGTAGCAGAGGACTGAGTACATTAAAATCATAAAAGTTCTCAGGAAAGGGTTGTTCACGGATGATAGAAAGGCATGCTATTTATGTGTATGTATGTATGCATTTTTAATCACCATGATATACAATACTGTTAATGACAGAGTTGCATGCATAAGATATTCGAACATTTCCTTCACCAGTGTCTACTTCCTTGAACAACAACAACAACAACAAAAGAACTAGAAAACAAATGTGGCATCTTCTTTTATCTTTGAGGTCTCCATGGATACGGACTGTCCTATTTCATTTCATCCACAACAAAATCAAATGATTGATACTACTAAATTTGAATAAATATTTTTTTCTTAAAAGTTATTCAGGTGGAGAATGGGCACTGGTGGAGGGATTTGTACTCAATCATTGTATAACTGAAACCCAAGCACAAAAAGTTGTAAATCTACAACTGTACCTTATGGTGTTTCACTAATAAAAATTAAAAAAAAAAGTTATTCAGTTGTTCTAAGGAGAAAAGCTAAGAAAGGCTATAGAAAACAAAGTACACACTTGTATAGAAGATTTAAAAATAGTATTCTGGGTATCTCAAGTACCCACTGTCATATATCCAGAAAAGTAATGTAATTAGACAAAGATATTTGAGAGTTTATTTTTAACAACTTGTGGAACTTTGAGAATACTGACAATTTGGGGTAGGGTGATATATTCATATAATACAACTGAGAAGTTGATACAGGTTGTGGTTTTAGCCCGAGTTTGGATAAACTCTAATTTTGTAGCCTTAAAAAAATCGTCCAGCTAGCCTGTATCCCTATTTGTTTAACTAGAAAATGAAAATAAGACTTACCTCATAGATTAAAAAAAACGCTAATGAAGTAATGGCATAGATTCCGGCATATAGTAAATCATAGTAATATTTCCCCTCTCACAGTCAGGTTTGAAAAGGGTATAATAATTTTAGGTATTTTTCTCCTTCTAGTGACTATAATAATAATACTAGAGAAAACAAATAATTTTCAAATTATCATACAGTGTATATTTAAATAACAATGATTATTTTTATAGACTTAGGCCCATGATGCTATTCTTAACTTTTTAAGAGAGGAAATCTTTTCTTTCGGGGTAGTTTTTAAAGATAGGCTCAGGAGACCCAGTGGATTCCTCTTGGTGATTCTTGATTGGCCAATGCTTCAGTGTGATGCATAAGAATGCAGTACTGCTCAAACCCTGAGGTTCCAGAGACTAGCCAGGTCATCTCAGCAGTACTCTGGGACCTCCAAGGCCACATTTGGCAATACTTAGAAGACCACGTGGTGTCAGAGATTGAACAAGATTGACTGCATGCAAGGCATGAGCATTAATCTCTGTAATCTCTTTGTCTCCTTGAAAGAAAATCTTATCAAGTCATCAAACTAAGATAAGTCTGATTTATAGAGGAAACAGAGTCCTAATAAATCCCCACTGATCTGATATGATAACCAAATCTTTGTCTTTTATCCCCTTAGTTTGTATGGACTCTTAGGTGCATCTCTTTATAAAGAATTTTTCTCAACTCCAGCTCTTTGCTACTGTTTATACATGAACAGAGCATCCTGTCCTCATCAAAAGTACTGACAACCTGAGTACATATTTCAATTTTGATCTGAATAAATGTAACTGTATAGTTCTTTTTTGAAACATACAGTGTTCATTTGGGCTTGGGTTATATATCCTTTTTATCTGTTAGAATGAGAGGAGTATTGGTACATGCCTAGCAGTGCTTGGGGATTATTTCTGATTCTGTGCATAGGGGTCTCTCCTGGTTCCTGGTGGTACTTCAGAGACCATAGTGGTACCAAGGATAGAACTGAGGTTAACAAAATGCACAGCAAGTGTCTTATCTTCTGTATTATTTCTCTAGTTCTTAAAAAATTTTACAAAATGAGTTGATAATGCATTTTTTGACTATTAAATTGGAAAGTTCATATAG